CCATCGCCGTCCCGTCTGCTCACTCTGGCAGCCTTCAATGTTCGTGCCCTGTTAGACAATCCTAGGAGCAACCCACCGAAACGGAGGACGGCCCTAGTGACTGGAGAACTGGCGCGCTACATGGTGGATATCGTTGCACTCAATGAGACCCAGTTCTCCAAACAAGGCCAACTGGAGGAGGTGGGTGCCGGCTACACCTTCTTCTGGAGCGCTTGCTCCAGGGCAGAGCGACGAGACGCGGACATCGCCTTCGCCACTCGGAATCACATCGTGGGACGACTGTCCCGTCTGACGCAGGGTATCAACGATCTCCTGATGGGCCTCCGACTGCCTCTCCAGGGAGGCCAATTCGCCACCATCGTCAGTGTCTACGCCCCCCTCCTCCCCCCCCCCTCGATGACCAGACCCGACGAGGCAAGGAACAAATTCTACAAGGACCTGCACGCCATCCTGGCGTCTGTGCCGAAGGCGGATAGGCTGGTAATCCTCAGTCACTTCAGCGCCCGCGTCGACATAGACCATGCTGCCTGGAGAGTAGTGCTGGGTCTCCATGGTCTCGACGGCTGCAACAACAATGGCCTACTCCTTCTACGAACCTGTGCAGAACACTGCCTCATTCTGACCAACACATACTTCCGCCTCCCGCTTCTAGAGAAAGCCACCTGAATGCTCCCTCGCTCTTGACACTGGCACCTGCTGGATTTTGTCCTTGTCTGAAGGCGAGACCAGCAGAACATGCTGATGACAAAGGCTATTCCGTATGCGGACGGTTAGACCGACCATCGCCTCGTGATCTCCAAGATGCGGATTTGTCTACAGCCTCGCAGGAGTCCTCAAGGTAAGCGACCCCCAGGTAAGCTGAATAATGCTTTGTTGTCTCTGCCTGCTGGCCATCTCCATTTCAGCAACCAGTTAGCTCAACGGCTAGACAACCTTCCAGTCGTCGTTGTCGTCGTCGTCGCCGCCACAGTCGAGGAGAACGTCTCCGTTGAGAACCGACGGTACCAACTTCGGAACACAGTCTAGTCAAAGGCTCTGTCCGTCCTCGGTCGCGCACGTCGCCAACATCAGGACTGGTTCGACGACAACGACGCCGCCATCAGCAATCTGCTCGACGAGAGGAACCGCCTGCACCAAGGCTACGTTGGCCGCCTGACCGACGACAACAGAGCTTCTACCGTAGTCGCCGCCTTGTGCAACAGCGGCTACAGGAGATGCAGGACGCCTGGACGACTCGCAAAACCGAGGAGATCCAAGGGTACGCGGACCGCAACGAATGGAAGAACTCTTTTGCCGCGATTAAGGCTGTCTATGGCCCGCCGACTAAAGCAACTGCACCTCTTCTCAGCACTGAGCGGAGTACCCTACTCACTGAGAAGACACCAGTTCTACAGCGATGGGCCGAGCACTTCAGAGGCGTCCTCAACCGTCCCTCCACCATTTCCGACGCCGCCATCGCCCGTCTGCCTCAAATGGAGACCAACACCGACCTCGACCTCCGCCCTCTCTCCACGAAACGACCGGGGCCGTGCAGCTGCTCACCAGCGGGAAAGCGCCTGGATCGGACGCGATCCCTGCTGAGATCTACAAGCACGTGTACGCCAACTTACGGATCGTCTAACGGCGCTCTTCTAGGAGATATGACGTCTAGGAGAAGTTCCGCAGGATTTCAAAGACGCCACGATCGTGCATCTCTATAAACGGTAACGTAATCGCCAGTTCTTTATCTCCTTCCTGAACCTCGGCGGAATGACTTTCGCTTGCAATGTCAAGATTCTGGTTTCAAAGTTGGAGTTGAGTGGAAGATATTATTGTGGGTCGTCATAGTCGCTGCGGTGATGATTGACCAGCTATCTTAAAGGGGCTGATGCTGTAGTCGGTCATCGTGATGCACAACGACAGGATGATATTTCCACACGAGCAATGTCCTATTCTAACGAAGGAGTGCATTCTGGCCCGGAATTGGCAACTTCATCGAATTCGTTGTTAGAAGGCGATGTCTGTCGAATATTAGCACGTGACGCGCCGACCGGGTAACATTGCTGATCCCTTCTGCGTGGTTGGCCATTTTGTCTAAAGGGTTTTAGTGTCCAGCATGGCCAAGATCTGCTGCCTGTGAACTGGCAACTTACCTAGCCAGATTTGCGAAAGATTGCGTCGTCGTCCATGTGACGACCGGCGAGCAAGAACGCAGAGCTTTTCAGTAAACCTCGTAGATCCAATTATACCCCCAAATAATTCTCTCTCCCGCATACCGCCTAGTTGCCAAAGCCATACTACCTGTCCTGTGAATATTTCGCACATGGTCCGTCCCAGTCATTTATCCCTCAGCCTAGTTTAGGTTCCCCACCAGTCAAGGCCATCCGCTCTGACGTCAGTCTACCTAACTCCTTTGACTTTCAACCTAGACCTGGTTTCCCAATCTTTAATTCTCATAGCTGCCTACTCTCCCCCACTAACCTCTGCCTTCCTTCTCAACTCCCTCCTCCTCCCCCTCCTCTTCATCCTCCTTCTTTTTCTTCTTCTTCACAAATTAACTATCATCAAGGCTATCCCTGTTCAAACTCCCTTAGCATTCCAATGTCCGAAAACTATACCTTTAGGGTTTCCTGTCCAGCCTTCCCTTGCTCACTCCCACTACGTCAATAACCCTAGACTCGCTGCTACTTATTCCCAAAATAACATTAATTCACAGCTTACGAATCCACCTCCAAATTTTTTTCCAAATACCACCAACAATACCCTTGGTGTTGGAAACACATTATATATTATATTATTGAATGCCAGGTCTATTATAAACAAGGTGGCACAAGTCAGAGCCAATGCTCTCAAACTGACGCCTGATTTTATGTTTATAACAGAATCTTGGACCCATTCTCTAATTCCTGACTCCTTCCTTTTTATAGATGACCTTGATTTATACTGTCAGGACCGCACAGCTAGGCATGGGGGCGGTTGTCTTCTTTATCTTAAATCCTACCAATAGCACTCTCCCTATTACCAACATGCCTCCTCATTTACGGTAGACTTCTGCTTCGCATCTATTATTCTCCCGCCACAAAGAAAGGCAATTATTGGCTGTATCTACAATCCCCCAAACTCTTCAGCCAGTGATGATGCACCACTATGTGAAATCTTCAAATTAATATCCGAAGCTGCTTACGATGATAAAACAATCAAAGCGGATTTTAACCTTCCTGAAATAGACTTGGTTTCCAATATCTGTCCGCCCGGATTCCAACCCTTCTAAGATATTGTCAGTTTTTTAATTGGTCTCAGCTTGGGCGCTCTACGACAAGAGATAATGACATTTTGAATCTTATCTTTACCAATATCATTGCCTGTCTTTTTGTTGCTTTCAAAAAGGACCTCTGTGATAGTAATCACGTACTAATTGGTTGTTGCTTACCGCGTGCCTTTTCAAAAAAGACTATCACGGTTCGGAATTACCTAAACTAAGATTGCGTATATAACGACTCAATAAATAACTATGTTAGATCATTGGATTGGTGTGGCTTTCTCTGTTGTAGCGATTCAACCATTCTTCTTAATGTCATGTCCAATGTTTCCATGGACATCCTAGAGTTTGCGCCGCGTAGATATGTCAAGTTCAGCTCTTAAAATTTCCTTGTTCCTTATTTTCTTTGTAACAGACTTAAAAAGTGCAGATGGCAGCTGCGTGACTCATCCACTAGTTCTTTATCCGTTCATATTAGTAGCATAGAGATTTTCGAAATGACCTGATAGATGTGCCAAGCACGCGACAGGCAAAGAGAATCACTTGCCCTCAGTGATCCGAACCCTGCCAAATCCGTCGCTAACATCTTCCGTCATCGGTCCTCCTCTGAGCGTGTTCACGAACTTCCACTCCTGCTAAACGACAACAAAATCTTCTTTATCGATGACACTGACAAGGCTGAGTTGTTTAGTGCTTTCTTTGCAAAATACCTTACTGCTGAGTCTGAACCAATCCGGTTCTTTCGTTCGTCTTTAGATGGGACACTGAGTACAATCGGTGTCTCCTTAGATCTAATTAAAAAACACCTAAGTTGTTTAAAAAACCCACACTTGCCGGGAATGGGCGCGATTCCAAATTCGATTATGAAACAGGCATCCGAATCTCCCATGCTGCTGGGCCATTTATTCTCGGTTTATATTTCGAGCGGACTTTTCCCTGAAACATGGAAGGTGTCAATTATTATTCCTGTCTTCAAGTCTGGATCTCGGTCCAATGGTAGCAACTATCGGGACGTGCACAAACACCGTATCTAGCAAAAATTCTTGATAAGATAATTTCCAATGAAATTTTTGACTTCCGTTTAGATAATCAGCTTTCGAGCTCTAATCAGCATGGATTTTTACCTGAACGATCCTGTGGGACTTGCCACTTGGCCTTTCTTAATTTAATTACTTCCTTCGTAATGATTAGCAGTCAGTGGTAGTTATCTACTTTGATCTTAGCAAAGCCTTCGACACGGTGTCCCATAGATGTCTTTTGGTAAAATTGAAGGCTTTCGTCGTCCGGCCGCCTCTACTCGACTTCATTAGGCCCTACCTTTCCAACCACTATCAGAAAGTCATGATTGATAACAGCTACTCAAGACCTCACTCAATCACGGGTGGAATAAGTCAAGGCACGGTTCTGGGTCTGCTATTTCACTTTCTTAGCATCGATGGTATTTCGATTGGAATTAGAAATCTGCAAGCTTTTGTTCATGCCGATGACCTCAAGTATGTAAACTCATATTCTTAGGGCACCGAAAATGTCCGTGTTGAAAAAAATTAATGCCGAATTACTACGCTTAAGCAGATGGAATTCAACATGGCATATGGAGTTAACATCACCCAAGTGTAGTTTCATGTCTTTTGGCCCTACTAAGCTTCCTGGTCCCATAATTTTGTAGAATAACCCACTCTCAGAATGCTTCACCATAAAGGACCTATGTTTAAGTCATGCAAATACTGAAGCTTGCTTTATAACCTCATGGAGATAGAATCTCTATCAAAGCTGTAGAGATATGTGAGTTTATGTCACATAATTTTTTCCTTCCGGAAATGAAGCTAAGAATTTATCAAATGTTTGTCCTTCCAATCCTCGAAGACCGCTGTCTTGTCATTGGTCTTATGAACGTCTTCACCATAATAAAGTCAAAAAGTTAATAATAATAATAATAATAATAACAATAATAATAATTGTATTTAATGGTGTTGAGGAAAGATAAAGCACGGATCGGGCTAACAGTGAGAAAAACTCCTTATGACTAAATACTGAGGATGGCGTTTTGTAGTTTAGATGGCTCAGAAGAAAAAAACTGTTGTCCATGAATTGACGTCAGTCCAGAAATGGATGGGTACCGCTGCTTCGGATATTTTCAGTCTCAATTCCTTCACATGAAATTTGTACTGCACTAAACAGGGTCATTGGAAAACTGCTGTTCATCGGCAGCTGGAGAAATTGTCCGTGGTGAGACGGCGCAGGGAATCAAAGACCACGAACTCCATCATTACGGTTGATTTAATCGGTGGAATCGGCACCCATAATATGTGGGAGATTTTCTGACTGCAAAACGGAGTAATGGTTCTCCTAAACAAAGAATGATTTTGCAGGATTTTTGCATCCCGAGGTAATTTGTTCCAAATTGCAATTACGTTCACAGAAAAGAACCGAATATATTTAACGGAACATGCCAGTGGAAGAAATAAAAATATCTCACGGGGACTATTACGTCGAGGGTGGTCAGGATGTTTAAAAGTAGTAAGCGGGTTAAGAGTAAGATTTTTTAAAAGCTTAAACAGCAAAAATAGTCTTTTTTGTGATCGACGAAACGACAAGGTGTCAGGGCTTGTAAGTTCGCAACGTTCCTGGTAGGTCAAGTATTTGCGGTCCAAGGTCAACACTCCTTTAGTAAAAAGATGTTGGACGGATTCTACTCTCTTCGTCTCAGCAGCACGTCTGACGCTAAATACAAACGAACAGTATTGCAGGCGGGGTCTGGCGTACATTTCATAAGGGGCAATTAAATATCGTTAGTTTTGAAATTTCGGAGGATAAAACCGGTCGTTCTGCGTGCTCTGGAGACAATCGGGACGCAGTGCTCCGAAAGATCAGACCCTTGAAGTATAATGCACGCAGATCCTTACCAGCGTGGGACACATTTTTGCCCTGACCGTCAATACTTAATTGGGGTTGGTCGTCATCGCCGACCACCATAACTGAACATTCATGCCAAGAAAGAGAAAGGCACCATGTGAAGCATCACTGGGCAAAGGCCTGCAGGTGGTTCTGTAGGAGTTTGTGCATCGTTTCCCGATCTGCCGGCTTATATCTATATGCAACTTTCAGATCAATAGAAGCGAAGAGACGAATCCCAGGAAGCAGTCCTGAAGAAGAAGACACGATCGCCGGGACAAGAGCTTTAGTAGCCTGACGTTTCGGATTCCTGCTCGAATCCATCATCAGAGACAAAAGCAGATAAGGGTGGTTCATGCATATGCGGCTGCAGTATTTATAGGACCCTATAAATACTGCAGCCGGCGATCGTGTCTTCTTCTTCAAAACTTTCAAATCATCGGCAAATATGAGGGGCTCACTATTCTGAAATAAACTTAGGACGTCGGTCACAAAAAGCAAAATAATAGCTCGCTAAGCACACTACGCTGAATGACTTCATTTCTTACGCAAGTGGGGTTGGCCATAATG